GATAAGTTGTTAAATAATCAGGAGAAAAAAATGTAGCTTGAGCCTTACTTCATAACTGGTACCAAAACAAATTATGCATGGATTAGGAGCTAACTCCTAATGTAACAAATCAAGAAATAAAATCCTAGAAACAAGTGACGATACAGTTGAATATCTCTGACAGGGAGGGATTTCATTCATAAGCATGAGCAATGGAAGAAATGACAATTTGATGAAAGGAATGTATATTGATGTAATTTTTTCTGGAAGAATTTGGAAATGTACAGAGATCCTTAAAATATATATGCTAACTTTTTGATTCCATTCTCTAAAATATCTCCTAAGGAAATAACTGGTAATGTAAACAATTGTTTATTTACAAAGATGTTCACTGATGCTTTTTTTGGTAACAGTTAAAGACTGAAAAAAATGCTTGATATTATCTGATGTGAAAAAAGAATTAGTTATATTTACAGTATGAGTTCGACTATGTATTAAAAAAAACTTTGGAAAAAAGACTATTTAAAGTATGATGAAATGATAATGAACATTTACAATTTTTTACAATTAGAAAAAGAAAAAAAGTCCATTAAAAAGGGAAGCATAATAATAAAGTCAAAACTGGAAATACAACTTAAGAAGTTGGGCCTGAGCCAGAAGGATGGAGCCATGAGAAATGAGTACAGAGTACACAGTAATATGCTTTTGAAATTGCTCCTTATTAAAGTAACAATCTTGGTCTCCCTAACAGTCATGACACCCATCCTTTTCTTATGTACAATTTCAGCATATCATAGGGTTTAAACAATCTCCAGGGCCAAAATAATCGACTATTTTAACTATAAGGTTTCTAAGATTTTGGTCCAAGATGGCAGAGTAGTCAGATGCTTCATGTTATCCCTCGTACAAGAGAGACCTGCAAAAACAAGTGAATTGGATGTATATGACATATTCAGGAACCCTAAGCATCAAAGACAAGGCTGAAGAATCAGGCTAAGCAAGAGGTGGAATGAAAGAAAATTCAATAACAGTAGAAACGGAGACTTGTGGATTGCCGGCATCCTGCTAGCCGAACCTGCACCGCACAGACATATTGAGACAAAGCAAGCAGCATTCACAGCTGAAAGCCACTCCACCTGGTGTAGCCAAGCAGGAGCAACTCTGTACTCATGGCCAGAGTCAGGCAGGGGTGCTTCCTGCCCTGCGAAAGTTAACTGCACCCACCCTACTCACTGTGCCCACCCCAGCCCCCATGATGGAGGTCCACAGGCCTGGCGGATACTTCCACCCACCCTGCCCATCCCTTCTCCCCACTGGTGACTGTGGCCCGGCGGCATTCACCACCACCCTGCCCCCTAAGCTGGGAGCTCAGTCACCCACGTCAGGGGGCCTGAGGGCTTGGTGGTGCCCCACTCCCTCCAGCCAATGGCACCAGGCTCCTGAGGGCTGGCTGTACAACCTCCCTCATGACACGCTCTAGCGAACAGGGGTATGCCCTCCAACCAGGCACCAGTGGGCAGGCAGCATCCCCTGTGTCTTGCCCACCACACTGCCCACCCACCATACAACTGGAGGTTTGTGTCCACTCCAAATACCATCATGCAGTCCTGCTCACCTGGGACTGTAAATGAAAGTATCCGCACCATTCACCCAGTGGAGCCCTGGTGGTGCAGTGGTTAAGAGCTCAGCTGCTAATCAAAACATCAGCAGTTTGAATCCACCAGCTGCTCCTTGGAAACCCTATGGGGCAGTTCTACTCTATCCTATAGGGTCACGATGAGTCAGGATTGACTTGATGTCAATGGGTATACAGTCAGTGTAGACAAAAAAGCCTGGTAGTGGTACAACAACAGAAACATAGACCAATGGAACAGAATTGATAACCCAGCCAAAAATTCATCCACCTATGAGCAGCTGAGTATTTGACAAAGGAACAAAGTCCATTAAATAGGGGAAAAGACAGTCTCTTTAACAAATGGTGCTGGCGAAACTGGATGTCCATCTGTAAAAATATGAAATAGGACCTATACCTCACAACATTCACAAAAACTAACTCAAAATGGATCCAAGTCCTTAATATAAAACGTAAAACAATAAAGTTCATGGCAGAAAAACTAGGGACAACTTTAGGGGCCCTAATACATGGCAAAAATACAATATGAACTATAATTAACAATGCACAAACCAGGAGATAACCTAGATAACTGGTGATCCTGAAAATTAAACATGTATGTTCCTTAAAAGACTTCACTAAAAGGCTGAAAAGAGAACCTACTGACTGGGAAAAAACTTCTGGCTACAACATAGCTGACAAGGGTCTAATCTCTAAAATCAACAAGATTCTGCAACACGTCAACAACAAAAAGACAAATATTCCAATTTAAAAATGGGCAAGGGATACGAACAGACATTTCACCAAAGAAGACATTCAGGCAACTAACAGACACATGAGAACATGCAAATCAAAACTACAATGAGACACCATCTCACCCTGACACTACTGGCACTAACGAAAGAAACAGAAAATAACAAATGTTGGAAAGGTTGCAGGGAGATTGGGACTCTTACACACTGCTGGTGGGAATGTCAAATGGTACAACCACTATGGAAAACGATATGGCACCTCCTTAAAAAGCTAGAAACAGAAATACTATACAATCCAGCAATCTCACTCCTAGAAACATACCCTAGAGAAATAAGAGCTGTCACATGACTAGACATATGCACACTCATGTTCACTGCAGTATTATTCACAATAGGAAAAAGATGGCAACAACCTAAGTGCTCATCAACAGATGAATGGATAAATAAATTATGGTACATATACACAATGGAACACTACGCAGCAATAACAAATAGCGATGAATCCACAAAACATCTCGTAACACGAATGAATCTGGAGGGTATCATGCTGAGTGAAATAAGTCAATCACAAAAGATCAAGTATTTTATGAGAGTACTATTATAAAAATTCAAGAAAAGGTTTACACATAGAAAAAAACAATCTTTGATGGTTACGAGGGAGGGGAGGTATGGGGAGGGGAAACCACTTAACTAGATAGTAGACAATTGTTAACTTTGGTGAAGGGAAAGACAACACACAATATAGGAGAACTCAGCACATGACCAAGGCAAAGTCATAGACGGTTCCTAGACACATCCGAACACTTTGAAGGACACTTACTGGTGCTGAGGGCTGGGGACTATGGTCTTGGGGTATATCTAGGTCAATTGGCATAGCATAATTCATAAAGAAAATGCCCTACATCCTACTTTGGCAGGTAGCATCTGGGGTCTTAAAAGCTTGCAAGTGGCCATCTAAGATACATCTATTGGTCTCCTCTCATCTGGAGCAAAGGAGAATGAAAAAACCAAACACACGAGGAAAATGTTAGTCCAAAGGACTAATGGACCACATGAACCACAGCCTCCACCAGCCTGAGCCCAGAAGAACTGAATGGTGCCCGGCTACCATCACCAACCGCTCTGACAGGGATCACAATAGAGGGTCCTGGACAGAGTGGAAACAAATGTAGAACAAAATTCAAATTCACAAAAAAACACCAGACTTACTAGTCTGACAGGGACTGGAGGAACCCCTGAGACTATGGCCACTGGAAACCCTGATAACTTATAACTGTAGTCACTCCCAAAGTCTACTTTTCTGCTAAAGATTAGACAAGTCTATAAAACAGTTACACATACGAGGAACGTGTTTCTTGGTTTATTCAAGTATACGAGGCCAAATGTGCAACATCTTCCCTAATACAAACATGAGATGACAGGGACAGGAAAACTGGAAGAATGACCATGGGGAACCGGGGGTGAAAAGGGGGAGAGTGCTATCACATTGCAGGGATTGCAACCAATGTCACAAAATAATTTGTATTTTTTTTTATTGTGCTTTAAGTTTACAATTCAAGTTAGTCTCTCATACAAAAATTTATACACACATTGTTATGTGACCCTAGTTGCTTTCCCTATACTGTGACAGCACACTCCTCCTTTCCACCCGATTTCACGTGTCCATTCAATCATCTCCTGACCCCCTCTGCCCTCTCATCTCGCCTCGGGACAGAAGCTGCCCATTTAGTCTCACGTATCTACTTGAGCTAAGAAGCACACTCTTCACCAGTTTATCATTTTATGTCCCATAGTCCAGTCTAATCTTTGTCTGAAGAGTTGGCCTTGGGAATGGTTTTACTTTGGGGCTAACAGAGAGTCCAGGCGCCATGTCTTCCAGGGTCCTTCCAGTCTCAAACCATTAAGTCTGGTCTTTTTACTAGAATTTGAGTTCTGGACCCCACTTTTTTTCTGCTCTGTCAGAAACTCTCTGTTGTGTTCCCTGTCAGGGCAGTCTTTAGTGGTAGCCAGGCACCACCTAGTTCTTCTGGTGTCAGGATGATGAAGTCTCTGGTTTATGTGGCCCTTTCTGTCTCTTGGGCTAATATTTTCCTTGTGTCTTTGGTGTTCTTCATTCTCCTTT